CCTGGGCTACATAGTGAGTCCAGGCCGTTTCACACACACATATTGCTTACATTGACAGCACATGTGTTTTGCTTTCCTGGCTCTTTTGTAGGACATACTCGGCATCTTGCTGGTCTTGCTGTTTTGTCGGGAGGTTCATATTATATAGTGTGTAGTTAACATGCACATAAAAAATGAATAAAATAGATTATTAAATTCTTGATATGCATTGTGAACAGACCCCAACATTTTCACATCTGTTGTGTACTTGCTTACAAAACCTAAAAGGTAACATCAGAAATAAATTCCTATTTCAACTGCAGTGAAAACACCAATAGAACTCTACAACAAACATAAACTTTGCTTCAGTTGTCACACCCAAGGCAGTCTTCACACAGGACGGCTGCAGGCTCGGTGCATGGGTCTCTATGCTGACTGCAGGTGTGCTTAGCTTTCCTTTCCTACGTGGCAGGCCCTGCTTGTCATCTATCTTGTTTTCCTTTTTTGTCAGGAGCTTCCTCCTGTATTATACAATGTGCACTTTAGCAGGAAAACAAGATATCAGTACAATAAAATATCAAATAGGTAATGAGTGCTTAGAATAGACGTCAACATTTTCAGCTGTTTTCTTGATCACTAACCTAAAAGATAACATCAGAAATAAAAATCTGAGGGGCTGGGGATTTAGCTCAGCGGCAAAGCGCCTGCCTGGCAAGCGCAAGGTCATGAGTTCGGTTCCTGGTACCGGAGAAAAACCAAAACCAAAAAAAAAAAAATCTGTATGGACTACAATGTAAATACAAACAAAAGCCCACCACAGAAATAATCTCTGTTTCAACTATTGCACCCAAGGTGGTCTTCACACATGAAAACTGCGTGTTCTGTGTGCAAGTATCGCTTACACTGATGGCACGTATGATTTGTTTTCCTGTCTTTCCTTGTAGGGCACGGCTGACATCTTTTTCACTTTCCTGCTATTACAGTAGGTCCTTGGGATGCTGCACCTGCCTGTTCACCTGTCAGCTCACCAGTGTGTGCCACAATTTTTTTGCATAGCTCCCAGGGCAGAAACATTTTCGTTTTCCTCTGCTGTGCAGGATCTCTTATGAGTTCCAGTCCCGATCTGCTAAGAAAATTGCTCCACGATATTTTGTGCTTGTTATTTTCTTTGTAAACTATCAAACTATGTTACACATGTTTAGGATCAAGTAAAACACAACCGTCGGCCACGGCTTTGTGTTTTGAGTGACACTGTAGTGGCTGCACAACTCATCAACAGGATCTACTCCACCTTTGGTTTTGTTGCAGAGAGTTACTATTTCAGGTTTCCGTTTTGTTGAGGTTTCTCTATCAATATTTCCATCATGGTGCGATGTTGACACCAGCACTGCCAGTTTGCTTTTCCTTGCCATGTACGAGGCCAATGTTATATTTTTGTGAAATCTAAAGATTGTATATACAGTTCTCTGTTTTGAAATTGCAACATTTCATTTGGAAATTCTGCTTTGTTCTTGTGTACAGTTCCTACGCTGGTCAGCTTGTCCTTTGTTAGCAAATGTGACATCCGTTGGAACCTGGCAAACCAATTGTGGAACGTCACATCCTGAATAGTTTGGGAGGCGGGAGGAACACGTTTGTTTACAGCATCACTTGGTTTATTACTGTATGAATAAGAACCTGGCGGCAGACTGCCAGGATAAATTTCTAAATCGAAAGCATAATACATCTTTGCATCTACAAGAGCATAAATTTTTATGCCATATTTTGAAGGTCTTCTGGGAATATACTCCCTGAAGCTACAGCAGCCATGAAATGCTGCAAGATGTTCACCAATAGTCATGAATTCAGAAGGGGTGTAAATTGCTTGACAGTTACCCACAAATCTCTCAAACCGTGAGCCGATAGCAGCCGGATTATCGGTTCTTTTTCTTTCTTGGTGGGTGGTTTTGTCATCAAATCTCAGGCAGTTTTGAAGGAAACTAAATCTCCTCCGTGTCATCATTATACTCTACAAACTCAAACCCACAGTCATCACCTTTCCATAAGTTTTTCCATTCCTACGATGACCATTATAAAGCCCTAGGAACAGAGAGAAGGAAAGCAAATGCTAATTTGTCTACTCTTGCATCACCGTGCTCAAAATAAAAATGAATAAGTAGAGTCCACATGGCCCTCGCTTGGGTCAAGAAGCTACCTATTTAGTTAAGGAAGGACTAGGCACCTTAACTAACTTTTTTTTTTTGTCTTTTTGAGACAGGGTCTCGCTATGCAGTTCAGGCTGACCTTGAGCTCACTGTATAGCCCAGGCTGGTCTCGAACTCCCAACAATCCTCCCAGGCACCTTAACTATCAAGACTTCGTGCAGTGGAAAAGGAATCAACCAGGAGAACTTAGGTGCTATTAGCAAAAGCAGAGAGGAATGGATGCCGGGCAGCCTAAAAATGACAAATGTCCACTATGGATAATATGATAATATGATGTCTAATGATATGATAA